ATCTTTCTGATGAATCTGAAGTGGCATTGGATGCAGGTCAATGGTGACACCTCGATGTACTCCAAGCTCATCGAAAAAACCTTTGAATGAGTGGGGCTCCTTGGGCAATGAGGGCTCGAATCGTTTGAGCCGCTTGTGGGTGGAACATCACAATGAGTCTTTTTATCTGACTTTGGCTCCATGTGTGGCGATAAAATATCGCCTTGAGCGCTTTTGGTCGCAGGGCCTGCTACTTCGTCGAGCTGCTTCCGAGCACAGCGGGTCTGACTGGTTGCTTTGCAAGGTCGAGTTTGGAGCGCCTACAGTGCCAGTCACTGTCCACCTGGAGAAGGGCGAGGTTGAGTCTCGCATCTCATGTCACATGATTGGTGGGACCGAGCTCTTGCACAAAGTGGTCAACAACCAGACCACATGGCGGCAGATTGCGAGGATGCTTCTGGACAAGGTGAACTTGTTCACCCTTCAGTTTATCTTCCTTGGCAAGATTATTTCCCGGGCCTTCTGGGACCAAAGCGTGGTGGAGCAGGTCGTTCCGGTGGAGGTCGAGTGGTCCAACGGAGATCCACCGACATATCCCTCTTCCAGCAGAGCCAAAGCAGGCACGGCGACAACAGGCAGACCTAAGAAAACAGTCGAAGATGAGAAGATGAAGGTAAAGGCCTCACAGAAGATTATGAAGCGCCCGTCTGCGAAGGGCCCAGCTACAAGGAAGAAGAGGCCGGCGGCAACTTTTAAACGCCCATCTGCCAAGTGAGTACGATGATGGCTATTGCATTGCATGTGTCAGCTCATAGGTACTGGAGCTATAGGTGCGCAATGCTTTGGTATAAAAAATTGAGAAAGCAAGCGGCCTAAGGGACGCTCTGTTTGAAGGATTTGTTCCTCAGAAACCAAAACAGTCAGCGTTGCATATACATTTGCAGCAGTTCTTTGTCTTCATTGTTCAAGTCTTTCTTCATTGCAATCAGAGAGTCACATGTGAGCATTTGTTTTTACAATGAGAGCTTGGCTGCAAGGAACGCCCCGGGGTTCAGTGTTCACAGAGCTGCCAATTCTTTTTGGCTGATGGCTGAGGTTCACGAAAGTCAAATGCCCCAGGTCGAGACGAATCCTTTGCCAAATGATCCTGACAGTCAGGGTTCTGCAGCAAAGGAAGTGACACCGTCCACATCCAAACCCCTTGATGTGGAAGCTGCAAAGGATGCAGATGCTAAGTTGTTTGCCTTCATGAACGCGGAAGAGTGCAAAAAAACGCTCCAAACCATGATCGAAGCAGATGCGAAGACCCTGCCTGAGTCGCAAGCAGTGAAGCCAGCAGTGGATTTGACACAGCCAAAGAGTGAACCCCTAAGTGAGCGAAATGATGCTCAAGTTGTCAACCCCATTTGGAACCAGGTGGAGGAAGCAATGCAGGCTCCTGTGTGCAGAAAGTGCCAGATGCCATGCACCGTCACCGCATTGGTGAACAAGAGCAAGGGGGAGCCAAGGAACCATGTCGTTTGCAAAGGATGCAACTCGGCTGCTACAATGTTGAGCCGCAACTTGGGAACTTGGCCAGTGCCATCCTTCAAAGGACTTTCTCAGGACCAGCAAATTGCTTTCTGGAAGTCTTGCAACGACATCATCCAGAAGCAAGGGAGGTTGGACTATGGATCCATCAGGGCCTCACTGATGATCACCTTGGAGAAGAAACAGTACGAGATCGCCAAGGCAGAGTTCACCAGTAAGTTCTTGCCTTTGAGCGTGTGGATCCAGAAAGGGTACCAAGAGGAGGACATCCGCAAAGGCGAGAAGGAGGACCACCCTTTGCTTGGAGAGACGTTCGCCATCCCGCTCAAAACGGTGAGCAAGGCCTACGTGGCAGAGAAAGTGGAGAACATGATCGCTTCCTTTGAAGGCCAGGTCAGGAAGAGAAAGGCTGAATGCCACTTGCAGCTTGCTCGTGGTAAGAGTTCCAGGACTCTTGAGGACGGAGCAGCTGATGCTGGCTCAGAACAGGCACTCGAAGAATTGGCTTGGATGCCGACAGAATCACCTGGGAAGGCGAAGTTGCAGACACAGGACGAAGACAATAAGCACCCAGAAGAAGCAGAGGAAATGACAGAAAAGGAAAAGAAGCGAAAGGAGGCGCAACTGAAGCGCCACAACACCCAAGTGACGAAGCTTGCTCAAAAAGGATTGGATACTCTCACCAGTCTGCAGAAGACTTTCATTCAGCATCTCGCAAACAAGCACATGCTTCCCATGCAGGCCGTTGAGGATCTCGAAAAAGTTGGAGAAGAGCTCACCTTGATGACGGCGGAGTGCCAAGAGGGCTTGAAAACCCTTCAGCCTGGCCAGATGAAGGAAAACCTAAGGTTCGATGCGAAATCGTTGGCCAGCACTGTGAAGGAGATGAAGGGCGTCTTCAGCCAATGTGAGCGAATGCACAAGCTTTTCAGCAAGGCCAAGAAATGAAGTCTTGGCCTGTATGTGGGATAGCTGTGTTCAGTCGACACGGCTTGCTTCCAATTAAGTGAAGCTTCTCATGCCGGGCTCAGCTTGAAGCGTCCATCCTGGGTGAAAGCGCGCCGGAAAAAGAAGGCAGCGGCCTTAGGGACGCTCTGCGGATGTTTTTCTTGTGTTTGTTTGCCTGGTTTTTGCAACCCTTTTTTGTTGCTTCTTGTCTTGTGTTCCTGGCCTTTATTTCGCAACACTCCTTTAGTAAACGAGGCTCCTCGGCTTCAGGCGTTGAAAGACCGGAAATATGAAACGTGAAATGGCGCCACCTTCAACTGCGCCATGGCGGCTACAAGCGCAGCATGTCCATGTTGAGACCCTGAAGAAGCAAGCCCGGGACAATCAGGAGAAGCTGATCAAATGTTTGCCAGCATCCCGGCTGATGAGGCACTATCTCTACTTGAGTCGGAGTGAGTCTTGTCAGCAGTTTGTGGGATTCAAAAGTGTTTGCACATGTGGAAATGAATTCAGAAAACCGCCCTGAACCCAATTTACTTCTTTGGAGTGATGTCACCCACTTGCCATCCATCAAGGAATGGGAAAACGCGCTTGACTTTGCAGATTTGCTGAAACGTGAGCTGAGGTTCCGAGGTGTCAGGTTTTTCCCTAGACCTTAAACCCAAGTACGTGGGTGGGCATACAAAGCAATGCATGCAATTCATGCTGAACTTCCAAGTTCAAATTTACAAATGCAACAACTAAATTCGAGCACGTTCAGCTTCCCTGATTTGGAAAATAGTGTGTCTATAGTAGTCCTGGATACTGCGATTTGTTTCATCCCAATGTTATTTGAGCCAACTGTTGCCTATTGCATATATGCTTTTAGGAAGATGAGCCAGTTCTATATAATGAAAGGGTATCTTGACAGCGGCCCTACGGACGCTCTGATGTGATTGCTTGTGACACTTTACAAGTAAACAGGCTCAAATTATGTGAATGGTCTCAAGCAGCTATATATCCACCTCACGAACGAATATACATGACGTATAGCATGGTTGAAACACAAAGCGCAAACAAAATGACATATAGTCACGACATGTTAGGACAAACGCAAGTCAGAAACAACAGACAAGACAAATATACCCACAAACAACATACATGACGAGGACAAGCGTTTTGAATATAATATAGCTCACTGCCTTGCAGTCTAAATACGACCCCCAGACTATGGAGGAACCGCCACCATGGAAACGTCGGCGAAAAGGTGTTTTGCAGGTGAAGCAGGAACCTGGTGCGGCGAAGCCTCTTTCAGTGGAGAAGAGCCAGTCTGAAAACACAACTGAGGACAATGTCTCTTGCCTCATTCGTATTGCAAGTTTCGACTCAAGTTTTGACTCAAGTTTTGGTTTTCAGACCAAAAGTATTTTTGGAAAACATGTCCTTATTGAGAGATACTCCACACTTCCACAACACAGGTCGGAGACGCAAAGACTGAGTCCATTGAAACCGTTGAGGGCTACGGCTACGACCTCAATAAAGAAACCCAGTGGTTGCAGCGGTTGCAGACCAAGGAGGAGGACAGCCATCTTTCCTAGTGTCCGACGTGTTTCTGTGGGTACATAAGCACATTTTGTATGACACAGACCTTGGGCTCATCGTATGTTTAACATCAAGAACTGACTCTCAGGCCACTCTTTTGTTTATGTGACAGGACGAAGACGATGCGATTTCTTTTGCAGCATCGAATCCACAAACTGCAGTGCCTGACCATCCCTCTTCATCTTCGAAATTCGTGGAACTAAATATACATACGGACACTGACGATGACGACATGGTGAAAGCTGCACCAAACTCTTCGTCTTCGAAGAACATGGATGCAAACACAGTGGTTAGTGAGGTGACAGCTGCAGCCAACCCATCGTCTTCGAAGAACACGGTGGTTTCTGCGGTGACAGCTCCGCTACCAACAGAAGTTTCTTCCTGCACTGAGGAAGATGACATCGCTCCTCACATGTCTGAGGCCGAATTGGCACTGCATTGTGCGGATGCCAAGAAATCAGCCCGTAAAAAAACCTATGAAGCCACAGGCCGAAAACGCCGCCGTGGCGGTCAAGATAAAGAATACTATGCTAAATGGTCGAAACCATTTAGCAAAAAACATGGCTAGCTGCTTGAAAGAAAAAAGGAAAGCGGCCTCACGGCCGCTCTGCTGCATCAGAGCGTCCCTTAGGCCGCATAGAAATGTTTTATAAAACTGGTAAATGTTCAAGAGAAAACACGTTTTTTTGTTAATAAATCGAAAACATAGGAAAAGCAAAAAGCATTTAAAAAACATAAGAAACCACATATTTTAGACATATCTAATTTTTACCTATTTCTAGGTATTTCTAGGTATAATTTCTAGCTAATTTTAGCTAATTTCTAGCTATTTCTAGCTATAAGTAACTTATGTTATAAGTTCAATAAGTTCACTTGATGTACCTCAGCTAGCCTCAAGTACCAAAAGTCACGAAGTATGGATCTGAAGTTCTCCACACGTTCAAACGGGTTCAGCTCCGGGCGGGTTCGCCCAGAAGGCCGCCAAACATCGAGCTCCTTAGGAGAATGAGAGAAGGGGCAACTGAATCAGGGCAAACCTGCCGAGGAGGAAGATAGGAAAATCGCACCATCAAATCACCTACAAAAAGGCTTCTTTTTCAGATCTTGAAGGGCCAAATCGGACCACACTGATCCAACTTGATCCAATTTCTATCTCCCAACCCCCTCGCTGCTCACGCGTGTGTTCTGTTTCTCCGGCCACTCTGCGACGGGATGGGACTGCTGTCACTCCGCCGCCTTGCCTCAGTCTGGAGATCGTCGACGTCTACGTCTGCGACGAGACTTCGAGTTGCTCGAAGGTCCAGAAAGGATCCGTGTGGACCGAACCTGGCATGGATGTTCTGAACATGAAAGGATCGGCTTGGATGAGCAGATGGGATGGGCATGTACCATGTACCTTTGTACCTTGCTAAGCTGCTAAAGGATGCAAAAAGTAGCTCAGCCAGAATTGTTCCTTCTCCACGGCAATCTCCAGCTGCTTATTGGAGGAGTTGTGATTGGTGGAATTGATTGGTGATTGGTGCGCATACTTCCTCCAAATCCAGCAGGGAAATGTTCGCTTCGAGCCAAGTGACAATAGACCCAAAGTTCCACCCTGAATCAGCCTTGGATTTTTAGGGGGAAGGACTTGTTCTACCCACGCAGCTGAGAACTCCTTCAGTCTCCCGAACCCACTGGGGCCAAGGACTTGCAGGCTGCTACTGCTGCGTTGTACACAATTTCGTTCCCTCTCACACCTGGGGATTGGTCAGAGAAATCAGTCGTGCCTTTTTTGAAGTCAAACAGTCACTTTCAACCATGTGAACTCTTCAGCCATTCAGGGGCTGTGAGACATTGGTTGAGAAGAAAACCTCGGAGATATGGGAATTTCCAACTGCCCCTGTCGGAGCACATACTGTCCTGCTATTGTTGCTGATGTGGATAGCTTTTCCATGCTTTTCCCATGTCAAAAGATGTACATGGCTGCCTTGTACTTTTCGTTTTGCAGAGCTCTTTGTGCCGATCATCAAATAGTATGACCCTATCTACACGGTCATTCGACGACTGGTCTGGGCAACCGGCTTCGTCTGGGCAACGGCTCTCGCAGATTTTAGACATCCCCAAATCTGTCCCCACATCTGTCCCACATCTCCTTACAGCCCGTCTGCGGGCGGCATCTGCAATCAAGCAACTCAGAAGTTGAGATTCTTCCAGCAAAGAAAAGGCCTTTCGCCACTCCTGCAGTTGCAGCAACTGGCTTCGTATCTCTCGAGCATGGGCCTGTAGAAAAAAAGGAGCAAGGTCATCTTCTCAACCAGGCTTTAGTTTTCCACAGTTGTTCACAGAACAATGTCACGGTGGGCCACGGCAGTCCTGTGCATGTGACACAGCATCCAGCATGACCATTGATCAAACGAAGTTGTAGGTGAATTACGCTTTGCCTCTTCGTCAATCAAATCATCCGCGTAAGCCAATGCTTAGATGATCTTAGGAAGTCAATCACCCCCAACATTTGGGATGGTTTTCCAAGATACAAAGATTGCCCAACCAAAAAAACATTTTAAAAAAAATGCCCTCTTCCCAACCCTTCCTGCCAGTATCTTCCAATTTTAATCCACCCTAAACCCGAAACATCAACATTGCAACCCCTCACGACGGGCGCTTCGGAAGGGGCCGGTCTTAGAGACTCAACCACTCGTTTTTGGGGGCCGGAACTCTGTTGAGCAGCCCTGAACAGTTTTTAAAACCCCGGCTTTGCTGTCTTTGCTCACTATGACTCCTGGAGGAAAGCGTCGAATACAAACCCAGTCTACACTTCCACATCCCCGTCCCCTTTGTCCGCTCTACACTCTGCTCTCCTCAGCCTTCTCACAGGCACTGATAGCAGAGCCGTAAGAGACCACCTGGACCAAGTCGAGTCTGCTTGAGTCGGGACGGCGGATCCATTCGGGCGACCATCCAGGAAGACCTTGAAAGGTGTTCATTCTTAAGGTCGTGGCATCCAAAGTTGGTCTCCTTTCAAATCTATCTCAGTTCTATCTCCCTAAATCTCAACGAATCTAGAGCCGAGTTTGGGAGGGTTTAGAAGTGCTGTGGGACTTTGTCAGGGTGATGGTTGAATCAATGCAGCTTCTCAACAAGCTTCACAAGGAGCCGCGACATTCACATGTCATCATCTGTGTCAACAAAAGTTTACAAAGACCACCCAAACAACATCATGAAGATTCACCCTCCACTCAAAAGGTGGCCACAAAACTCTAAGCATACCCTCCACCTCTCCCTCAAACTTGTCCCTTCGTCCGGGCATCCCCGACATCCGGACGGAGGCCGCCACTGTTCCACCCGTGTGGGGTGGCCGCGCGCAGTGCTTCGAGGATGGACACGGCTCGAAGCCATGGACCACTGTGACAGCTGAAGGTCAAGGTATCTGGCGCCGGGGCTCCTGCACATGACCGCACCGGATACCAACTGTTGCCTTTCTTTCCCTTTTTGGGTCGTCGCGCGATAGAGTCAGTGGCAGTGCGGCAGCCGGGTCACAGGTGCGATGCGGCAGTCTTTTGAAAGGAAGGGCTTGGTCTTTCGGATCGCCCAGATTCTCGATGTATCATCAAAAAGGCAAGACATGACTGCCAATCGTGGCCAATCGTGGCCCCAGAAAGAAACCAAGAAGTGATTGTTCCACCTCTCAAGAAGAGTCAAAAGAAACAAACAGTCGACAATTCCTCTCAAGAATTCTGTCTGTTAAGAGCAGTCATCATCAAGTAAATGTCTTTCAAAAACCGTTGCACAACCACCTCGTTCCTTCATCTTCCTGGCGATCGAACGAAGCGTTGGGGCCTTCAGAGTCTCCCCGCCTCGCAGCAACTCCTCAGCCCAGCGCCATTGCTGCACCGTGGCGCAGGCGCTGCACAGCGCATTGCATGCAATCTGAATGTCTGGACTGCGCGAGCACGCTCCGTCCACCCTCCAAAGGCTCCAAAGCTCCAGCGCGCCGCGCCACTCCTGCGCCAACAACGCTCAAACCGCCAAAAGCGCTCCGGCTTTCGGACAAACACATTTGGGTGGTCACCTCTTCGAAATCAACTGGTTCACGATGGTTCATGAGAAAAGGTAATTACGTGAAACCGAAAGAGAAGACCCCAATTATTCCCAATTGTGTTGCTTCTGTTCAAACGCTTGGGCTCGCGCGTGGACAAACATCTTGGTGAGCTCCCACATCAATGGTTCCGGCGCTCGCATTTGTCACGGCTCAGGTTCCGGGCCAATCCCGTGAGGTGTCGGCCAAGACATCATCGACGAAGATCGAGGCAGCCGGAAAATGGGCTCGGAACGCATCCGTTGCTTCGGCAGACAGTGATCCAGCATCTAAAGAGCGAGCACCACCCTTGAAGGGAAAGTCAATGGATCCGAAGGTGTGCACATTTTTTGTGTGACACCCAGCAAACTTCCTCAAATCCGACACATGCTCCATCAGCACTGCAAGCATCTCATTGGTCACTTCGGTGACTGCATAAATTTGAATCTCTTGCAAACGATCGCACTGTTTGAACGTCTCAAGCAGCCAGCAATACACCTTATCATTCTGAAACTGGAACTGTGAACCAGGATGACTTAGGCCAAGGGCTGTGTTCATAAACGCATCACTGGAAAGATTCAGAACCCGCAGCTGTTGAAAGTGCCCCAAGGCCCACAAGTCTTGCATCACCCGACGGCCCACAATCAGCTCACTCAATCCTTCTGCAGGAGGTGGGCGAAGCTGCACCCGATCCAGGTGCAAAAGCCTGAGAGATGTACACAAATCCAGTGAAGTTTGAACTTCAGCTCCCAGCTTCCCCGAACCACAGGAGCTTAAGCACAACTCTTGAAGCTTTGAGAAGGACTTTAACGCCCAGCAAATTGAGGATGAGCGTAAGGAAGAGCTGCTGGCAACCAATCGAGCCAACTGAGTTGTCCCAAATCTCCTCAATGCCACCTCTAGATCAGAATCGGTCACCATTGAATCCTTAAGTTCTGGATTCTTCCAGTCTTGCTTGTCCAAACGCATCGTGTTGAAGTCTGAAACCAAGGAAGGACTCAAGCACAAACGAGGTCTTCGCTTGTACTTGTGCCACTCGGTCACTGCAAATGGCCAAGAAGCCATATCCACATCCACGTTCGAAGCCAACCGAAAGGCCCAGTCAAGCCAAAGCCTGTTGGTCATGCTTAGCATCTGCAGCGAGCCAATAGATATACACCTCAAAATCTGCCCTGTGAGCACATCATCACCGAGCACCACTGCGCTGGCAAGATGCGGACCGCCTCGTCGTCGCCGGCAACAAGGAAATCGCTTCTGAAAGTCGCCGCTTGATGTCCACAGGGCTCGCATCATGGAGTCAATTGATGAAATCAGTCAGTTGTCAATCCAGGTCTGCCAGGTCCACAAGACCCAGGGCACAACGGCACAACATCTCGGGCCTTTGAACAGCTTCGAAAAATGGGGAAGCTCTGCTTCGAGTGTGGTAAAAGGGTGAAAGGCTCGACACCAGGATCAACAAACGAACATCCTTCTGCTCAAAATCCATTCCCTGAGCTTGGAAAATTGTAGAATTTTCGAGACGGTGTACTCCTCCGTGGTGGTTCTTTTCACATTGCCCTGAAAATGATCTCTAGCACTCTCTAGCACCATGTACTTACTTCATCAGCCCATATCAGCCCCTGTTTTTTGGGTGCTCCATTGGTCAATCCATCCAAATGCACCCAAATCGCCGGCTCCCAGTCTCCTGCGCCCTCTCCATGGCGCTCAGAGCGGCCCCCGTCGCCGCTGCTGGCGCGGCGGACACGGAGGTCCGTGCATCGGCCAGGAGCTGCTGGGCCCAGCGCCACTCGGCCTGGTCGCGAAGAAGCGCAGCGTTCGGAGAGAGCTGTGGTTTGGGGTCCAACATCTAACGGGTTTGCATTGAAAAAATTGCACAGAAATGGTATACCCCCAACCACTCAAACGTGGTCCTCTACTTTTGAAAGACAAACACTGAAGTTTGTCAGGTGGCAGGAATGAATCCGAAATGCGCAAGCTTCTCTCGTGAAGTATTGGTATTCTCGTAGTTCTATCTTGGGTGAGTACCAATTTGGGTTTGCAGAGTCACAACAGCCAAGTCTGAGTACAACCTCCAAGGCTAGTGGGAATTCTCTCCAAAAAGAGAAGGCCCCGCTAGAAACCTGCCATGATGTCTCCGCCTCACCTTTCATTTAGATGGACGATCCAGCGTTAAGTACTTTAGGGCCTGGGACAAAGCCCCTCTTGTAAAACTGTGCAAAGCTTCCCCCGACCTTCATGTTTGAAGGACTCGGAGTACAAAATGGGAGATTCAAAACTGTCGAAAGCTCAACCGCATCTTTCTGTGGAGGTGTATGCTTCAGCAGCTCAATCATAAGATCACATGACTTCGCATGATACAACCCCATTCATGGCGAAACCTGTTTCGAGATGTGCAGTGGATCCACAAAAGGTCTCAAGTTGTTTCTTGGCATGCAAGGCCTGAACGCATTCCACGAGTCAATTAAAAACATCCGAACATGAGAATGGGATAATGGACAAATGAAAGCCCCAGCCTTCTTCTCACATGAACTGATTCCTGCGCCCAAGGCAATCATACTGGTTCGCAGGTTTACAAAGGCCATTCCAGTCAGCAAGTGAAGCGCGACATTCCAGCAGGCTGCCTTCTCACAAGCACTGGTCATGAGGCTGAAGCTGACCTAGGCTGGCAAACTTCTTCCTCGTCCAAGCAGCAAGCAGTGCAAAACTGCAATCGAGCCAATGAAAATTAAAGTAAGCAAGCTATGGCAGCTATGGCAAGCCAAAACAATAGATCCTCAATCCAAGTGACCATGTTCAGTTTCAGCCCCTCTGCCATGCCCAGCTGCCGCCTCCATGCACCAATGGAGCGCGCCACATTCAAAGCGACATTCCCCGTCCTCTCGGTCGAACCTCCGTTGCCCAGCACCTTCCATGCTAGTTGGAGCCCCTGGTGCCATGCCACAGCGCCCTCGTCCGTTGTGGCACCCACCGCAGCGTTGCAGGTGAGGCCGTCGGGCGGGCAGCGGCACTGCCGCCCAAACTGCAGGAGCTGGAAGCCTTGGCGCCAGCGGGTGGCTGCCACGGTGGCGCCTAAGGCGACCACGTCGGGCAAACACGAAGTGCCCAGGGCCGCCAGAAGCGCCAAGGCAGCTGGCCAGGCGGGAGGGCTCTGACCGCAAGCGTGGATGGCCTAGGTGAAAGAGGAGGCAACACACCTAAGATGTTAGGTGATGAGACCAAAAGCCGGGCCATACCAGCCTGTGCTCAGTTCAGTGGCAGCAGTGTAGGTGACCACATCTGGCTGAAGGCGTTGTCGAGAAAGCTGGGACAAGAAGATCAAAGCATCTTCCCAGCTTCCACATGCACTGATGCGCCTTGGCAACTCATGTCATGGAAGTTTGAAGTGTTACATCGCGGTGGCTGGAGCTGTTGAGATCAAATGAACACTGAGTTGTTGCTATACGATGCTTGGCGAAGGCTTCGCAGGATGGGGTGCACATCCCAATGACTTGGGCAGGTGCAACCCAAATTCATCTACCACTGCAAGGCACTGGTTGTAGGCCCGCAGCGCATCCTGCATCCGTCCTGAAACATTCACGGGATCGAAATGAGAAAATTCAATGGTTAGTTTGCCAGCCCTATGTAGGCCCTTCGCACAACAATTGCGGTCGTTTCGCATCATTGTCCCAAGTCGGTGCCTCCGCCTGCGCCACATCATCGCCATCAGCGTCGCTGTTTGTGGATCATGTCAGCTTGATGTTCCTCTCACATTTGTCAATGTTGTGCAATGTCTTCTTTGGGCCCTACACTGGGCCCGCACCAACTGAAGCAAAGCACACTCTTGAACCAAAGACGCACGCAAAGAAAAATACTATTTTGTCGTTTGAGAACGCGTGAAACCACTTGTATTGGCAGCGACTTCGATCATCCTCACCAAATGGCCTCCACCTTGAAGCATCTTGTTGGGGGACATGAACCTCCGCGCTATTGTTGCTACTGCTACACAAAAACGTGCAAGGCCAGCCAGAGATGCTTGCTTCACTGGTAAAGCATGCATCACTTCACTTTTTGGCAAAGACCGATAAAGGCACTCAAAGAAAAAATGGATACATCACGTTCACGAAAACGGCGAAGCCTTTGGAACTGTCGCGATGGATCCTGTTCCGAGGTCAGCACGCTCGAGTGGATTGATCAATGGAAAGCTCCAGCCGTCCTTGGCTTGGGCTCAGCCCGAAGTCCCATGATGCAGGAGTGATACTTCGGATGAAAATTGCTTTGTGCTCAAGGAAATAACATAAGAGGCCATCTCTACTAGTAACCAGAAGCTACTAGTAACAAGGCTGGGGTTGGGGAGAAATTTTGCAAGCCTGTCTTTGACCCGAGGGCACGTGCTGAGAAACTTGCCTCCCAGCCCGGGTCCCAGCCCCACACCCCGAGAGAAGTCAACAACCACTGTTCCAATCCCAAGAAGCCTTAAACGATCTTCACACTGCAGCGTTTCTGCAACACAACGAACGAAATCCCATGGGAACTTCTTGGCAAACGGTGTAGAGTAGGGGGTCTTTAGGACGCCGCCTTGCAAGCTTCCCCCTTGAAGTCGAGGCCTTGAAGCCTTCAAGCTCTGCTCGCCGTAAGAGTGCGAAGTTTGCCAACTGCACCAAACGTCAAACATAATTCAATATAATTCATATGATACTGTAAGCATGTGGGCATGCAGGCCGACAGGTAAGCAGGCAGGCAAGCAAGCAAGCGGACAAAGCAAAGCAGGCAAGGCAAGGCAAGCAGTCAATCAGTCAGTCAGTAGGCATCCGTATTTCGCCAGATCATTCCAAGCTGGGAAGTCCACCAGCCCCGGCTGTACCCAAATCAGGACCCCTCAACAAACTTTCCGCTCATTCTAACTCCTTTATGCAAAACCGCGACCAGGTAACCGCGAGTCTGAGCAAGAATCGCGGCAGCCAGCAGGTAATGGCTACATCATCTTGCAAAGGGCCATTGCCCAGAAACCTGCGCCTCTGTGCCCTCTTCTTCCATTATGACGTTGGGCGCCCCATCAACTTGCCCAAAAACAGCCCCCAGCGCAGGCCCAACGCAGCCAAGTTGCATAGCACCAAATGCAAAGGAAATGCTTGCAACTACACCATTATTTTCATTAGCTACAACATGCATGTCTTATTTATTCCAATCATTTCCATCACGCATTTCTAGATAATTCGTATGCTTACATGTATAAACTGTTTGGTGTTCTATTTAGTCTCTGTTTTTTAAGGAAAATGAATAGCAAAAAATTGACTATAAAATCCTTAATTAAATGACAGGGTGCCCACATTCTAGATGTATTGTTCATAATATTGTTCTTCATATTAATTCCCATTGCTTTCTTTGTTGAAATGTTGTTATTTTTGGTGAACCTGTTACTCTACATTATACTAGTTTATTCGGTTGGGCCAATCACCAGCCACATTATAGATAGCAAAAGCCACAAGTCGCGTTGAAACAACCGCTTTGGCAGGCCTCTTTGTTTCCCGACGCATTTCCTTTGCACGTTGTAGAAGTCTTAATCTGCAAAAACATCACCCGCGGTACAGCCCCAACTTTGCATAGCTGTGGGTGAGGTGGACGGGCACAATCTTTTGCAGAGCTGAGCTGAGGTGGTCCTGAAGGCTGTACCGAGTGAAGACGCGTGGAAGTCTGGTTGGACCCTGTTTTCATAGGCAGCGAGTCGAAGCTATAACATGAAGAAGTCCGGATCAAAGGGGCCGTTGGCGCACCATGCATCAGCACGCTCGCGGTGGAGATGTCAGACATCTCTTTGTTGTTGCGCAGGGACCGTGCGGGAGCCCCGCTGGGCCACCCGAATCGCCCGCGAGACCCACTGGGCTTCCACTGGGCTTCCACTGGGCTTCCCGGACGAAAGGCAATGCTCTCCAGGTCCTCGGCCAAGGACTCATCACCTCGCGACGCGGTGATGAACGTGTCCACCGCGTGGACTTAAGTGGGTGATGCGTTTGGGCAATGACCACAGGTAAATGAATATCCTTAGGTCCTAGAGTCAAATTATATACCTAGATAGTACAATATGATTCAAAAATTGTATATGTATGTCTATGTTGAACTGTTTATAGGCACGAACAGCTTCATCGCGGATCAATTCACCCCTCCAGCAAATCCTTCTTTCATCTTGGTCGCCCCACCGCTTTCGCATCGAAAGCCCTCTTGTGTCTTGGCCTCCACCAGAGCAAGACGAGTCTTGGCCCCACAAACAAGTTCATGAAGACGGCCACAAGCCCTCTAGCGGATATGGTTGGTGTTTGAGAGGCACATCCTTTGTGGACACACCAGCTCACTTGACAAACCCAGTAGACGTTTGAGAGATTTGATATAGATATACAGTAGATATTTCGATATCTAGATATATATATATATATGTATATCGATATATGTATGTATATATGTGATTTATGTATTTTTATTTGGATGTATTTAGAATGTAAATCTCAGAGCAGGGAAGACAAGACCAGGCAGGAAAGCGTTTCATGTCTATGTCTTGGCTCTTTGCACATGTCAGAGAATCTTCTCAGGACGGGCTTGTTTTGAATGGGCCGTGGCCACCCTCGGCGTCTTGAACAGGGGCGTGTATCGGTCACATCTACTACGAGGCAAGGCACATCTCTGTCATTCGAGAAAGAACACACCTTTGAGCCTACAAAGTGGGCACATCCTGCTTCTTGATTCTCTTCCATCTACGCAAATGGAACTCCATGGCCTCTCGTGGCTTAACACAACGGAGCTATGGACTTGGAACATTTGTCCCAAGACGAGGAGGAGTTCGTCGTTGACCGATCGCTCGCCTGGAAGAGCCTGCCGCTCTTCGCGCCTTGGAAGCCCGGCAAAGCGGGCACTGCCTCGGTGAAGAAAAACCGCCAAGCAAGCAGTGGCACCTTCAACCTAATAGATTCTTGCTCCTAGTCGCGATGCCAGGAGCCCCTAATTAGTAGCGTCCTTGTTCCTAGCAGTGGCACCTTCAACACCGATGCCTGGAACACCAGCACTTATGACACCAGCTGCTACTTCCAGCAGCACCAAATACCTCATCTTCTGCGTCCAAAGAGCTGGTTCCCTATGAGAAGTCTGATGAATTGATTCCTCTTGACAACCTCGAGCCCATGGTGTTTGCTAGGAAGGGCTCTACTACTACTACTACTACTACTACTACTACTACTACTACTACTACT